AGATCCCAGCAGGAACTCATAGCGGAGCTGGGGAAGCTTCAAGAAATGCAGAGTGCTGCTGGCAGCAAGATGAGCAAAGAGCTGGAGGAGAGGGACCAGGAGATCAAAATCCAGGAGGGGAAAATAACTATTCCAGAACAACACCATACATCACGAGTGAGAAATCTGTTTGTGGATCTTGATCATATAAAAGGAAACTTGAAGGAGAAAAACATGGAGTTTATGTCTCTGACTCAGCTGATCCAAGAACTGGAAAAGGAAAGAGAACAGGTGAAATCTCTGCATGCAAGCCTTGAACACTTGAGAGCAGTTCTTAAGGACAGAGAGAGAGAGTGTGATTCTCAAAGGGATCGGTTGAGACTCTTGCAGCAGTACAAGGAACAGCAAGAGAGGCACCTGCAAGACCTTCATGGTAAAGTAGAAAAGATGACACTTTCTTTATCTAAAAAAGATCAAGAGCTTGAATCACAACAAAAGCAAATCCAGGAAGCTGAGGAAGTCATGGAAATGCAGTTAAGGACTGTCCGTGACCAACTGGAGCAGACCTTAGAAACCTTAAAAGAAAAGGACAGACTCATAGACATCCAAAAGCAACAAACACAGAACTATGAGGAAGAAAAAGAACAACTGATTAATGTCTTACGTAGAGACTTAGAATACAGTAAGGCAATACTGAAAGAGAAGGATTTCATGATTGAATCTCAGAAGGAAGTGATTAAGACCTTCCAAAACCAAGAACGAGACTGTGAAATGCAGAAGGAAATTCTGCAGCATCTTCAAGTGACACTAAAGGAACAAGAGCAAGAAATTTTATCCCTTAGAAAGCAATGTGAGGCATGCAAGGTAAAGGAGGAAAAACATGAAACTGAGCAAACAGATCTTCAAGCAACAAAATGGACTCTGAAAGAAAGAGAAAAAAAGATAGAGGTTCTGGAGGAGGCTATCTCTAAGCTTCAGCAGCAAAAGGAGGAGGCAGTGATGCAGTGTAAAGTCATACTGCAAAAACTAGAATATGCTGAATCTTCTCTAGAAGCTAGAGATCAAGAGATAGTATCTTTGCAAGAGCATGTCCAGAACCTTCGAGAGCAGAAGGAGTTAGAAGGCAACCAGGCCAAGAGTCTACAGCAGGATCTGGATGAAATGAGTCAAATAGTGAAGAACAATTGTTTGGAGTTCCTCAGGCAGACAGAGCAAATGAACATTTTCCAGCTTCGTGAAGAAAACATGAAAGTAGCACTAGCATCGTGCCAGAAGCAAGTGAATCTGCTTGAGGAAGTAGTGAGGAAGAGAGATGAAGACAATGAAACTCTTATGCAAAAACTCCAGTGCCAAGAAGAGCAACTGAAAACCTTTCAGAATCTCCAGCTTGGGCTAACCGATAAGAACGAAGAGGTTAGACATCACAGAGAGCAAGAGAAGCTGCTCGAAGAAGCCTTGCCTGAGAGGGAACAAGAGACCAAGGCTCAAGGTGAGCAAAAAGCTTTAGAAGAGGAAATAAGAGGTCTTCAGGAAGATCTCCAGCATGTTCAGCAGACTCTGACAAAGAAGGATGAAGAGATCAAGTGCCAGAGAGACACAGTCAGCTGTTTAGAGAAGACTCTGACAGGGAGAGAACAAGAGCTTAGGAGGCAGAGTGAACTCCTGAAACAATTAACATCAGCTTTGCGATGGAAAGATGAAGGGGACAAGCTGAAGAAACAAATCCAGAAACTCCAAAAATGGGAGGAAGAAGAATCAGAGAAGAGGAAAGTCCTCCAGGAGAGAGACTGTCTCTTGAAAAGGCAGAAGGAGCTAACCTACCAACTGGAAGATGAGCGGAAAGCAAAGGGGGAAGAATTGAAACGTGTGATTGCTATTTTGAAGCAGACTGAAAGCGGAGAAATCGAATGGAAGGAGAAGGCCCAAGCACTGACTCTTGCCCTTACCAAGAGTGAAATGGCCAATGGGACTTTGAGGGAAGAAATAGCCATCCTGCAAAATATGGTTTCAGAGAGGGACAAGGACCGGTTTCATCTTCAGGTAGGCACTGTGATTGATCATCAGTCAACTGAAATGTCTATAAAGGATTCTAATGATGTTTCCCATAAAGATACGGGAATATCTATTCCCATAAATATATGACCTGCTAGGCCAAAGGAATCAGGATTGCAGCCAGCAGGCTTACTTGTCTGGGTAGCTCCAGCCAGAGACCATTCACCTGCTAGAATGTTCTCTGTCAAATCTGGAACTCCTGAAAGAACTGCAGAGCTTTCCATTAAAACTAAATCAAGTCCAAAAGTTGGGGTTGGGCAATTGGTTTTCTCCTGCCTAGGCAAGCTGAGCCAGTGTGTCATGGTTAGGATTTGGCATGGAAAGGAAAGGGCACAGCTGACCAGACTAACGTAGTAAATTTACTAGAATTTTATGATGATGGCTGAACAGCAGCTACACCGATGGTGCTTAGAGGATGCTTTCAGAGGTGTAGGTGTCTGAGGTACAGCTTTGCCAGTGTGTTAGAAAGAATGGAATTCGTACCGTTGCCTGATGAGGTTAAAGGCTTCGTGGTGCGTTCAGGATGTACTTGGGCTGCAGTCTGAAAAGCATGAAGGCAAATTTGTGTGGATTTCTCCAAGGTGATCTGACTCGGGTACTGCTGGTGGAACAGCTGCAACAGCCTGTGCTGCAGACTTGCCCGGGACTCTGCCAATACTTTTAGCATTACATTAGTGTATACAGGCATATAAAAAATGCTACTAATAAAATACTATATTTATGCATTATACATTTATACATTACTTGAGAAATATTACTACCAGCCTGATGATGACTGGTATCATGCTCTGTTGATGGGAAGCAGAGAAGGGACAAGAGCAGGAAGAATGAAAACAATGGGAGATTTCAATTGCATCCGTAGAGGTCAGGTATGCAACAGCGTTAGGTCGGGTAATGCAGTTGCATCCATACAGGTCAGTGTAGTGCTGATGTCAAGACTTCATTTATAGATGCTGTCAGAGATTGCTTCAAGGAGCTGTTCTTCAAGAAACCCATGAGAGGGGAGATGCTCTTGACTAGGTTCAGAGCAATGCACAGGGCTTGGTAGATACCTTTTTTCAAAGAGCAGTTCTGTAATGATGATGTGACAGGTAAAGGGAATAGAGAACAAAACCGTAGTATTTTATGACTGCAGAAGTACATGCTTCACCCACATGTTACATGTTGTTTGGTTGTCCAAGGACAGAGTAGAACTGTAGATAGGAGAATATACAGTGAAGGTCAGAGAGGATGACCAAAGATGTTACATGGCTTCCCTAAGAGGGACATGCAAATGTGGAGGTCTTCATGATGGACACGTAATGGCTGAGAGGGAGGGAGCTGGAAATACTACAGACCTTTGTAAAGCCATTCAGTGGCTGAATAGGAAATGAATATTTCCAGTCTCTCTGAGAACCAGAATGGGGGGCACTAAACAAAACCAGCAGGGAACATGTCCAGAACAAACGACTCCATTTCCCCAAGGTGATCTGGAGAAGGGCCCCTAGGAAGAGAGTGTGTTGTCTTGGCCTGTGGACCAAGAGGAGAAGGGACTTGGCACTGTCCAGTTGCTCTCCTTGTTGTGTTCATTCTGGCCCTTCTAACCTTTGTGTGGCACCAGCTCACATACTTTTCTCTCGGAATACCCAGCAGGCTGTCGCAGAAGGGGAGCAGCTCCCCTGGCTCTCAGAGAAGAGACTCCTTTCGCAGCAGCTGGAACACGTGCAGCGAGCAGTTGCAAGGCTGGAACATGAGAAGATGGAGCTGAAGCAACTCAATGCTGAGCTCAGGAGGACTCTTGAGCAGGTAAAACAGGTTTTCATTGCCTCTGCAAAGCCTCACGGTCCTCCAGAACACAATGTATTTCCACAGACAGCACTTTGGAGTCCTCTGCTTGTTTCCTTCCCTCTCCCACTTTCACCCGTGGACGCACACTTTTGTATTTTCTCTCTCCTCTGGTACCCCGTTGCCACCCTTCTTGTCCCAGTGTCCCCGTACACACACATTTGACTCTCTTGTGTCAGGAACTGTTTCCTCGTGCTCTTTCTCTTCCGCAGTCTACATTGAGTGCTTTTTACCTGCAATGTTCTCTGGCACAATTAACGGTCTCTGAGCAGAAATCTCCCTGCCGTGATATCCAGAGGTCCTTCTGCTCCTTGTTTGGTGGCAGGTTTCTATCACCCTTTCTCCTGTCCAACGTGCAGGTGGAACGTGAACGGAGGAGACTGAAGAGGTACTGCAGTGGTCAGTTGCTGCCAGATGCACGCGGATTTTCTCTCTCTGAGTCTGACCCGCACAAGATGCCTGCTTCTAGACAGGTGGGAACAGCATCTGACTTGGTGGGAGGAGGGTCTGGCCATATGGAAGCATGATGGCAAATCCCAGTGGCAGCAGCTCCCCCATATAGACCTAATAGAGGTTGAATATAAACCATGGCCCTGACCGAACTGAAGACTAAAAAAGAAATCCTTGCATTTTCTTCACAGGAGTCGTCTCACACTTGCTGCAGTCGATTAGCTGAGTTGCAGAACCAGGTGAGGAGTACGAAAGCTCTCATCAAAAGCTGCTGTGGCTGTACTGATGGGCACAACTTCGCATGATGAGACAGCGCAAGTTTTGTGTGGCTCTCGGGAAGTGAGTGCACCAGGCAGTGTCAGTTTGCCACAGGCAAACAACATCACTCACCTAGGTCTGGTCTCTGACTTGCTTCAAAGTCAGGCAGGGAGGGAGAGGGATTGGAGGAAATTCAGAAAACTGGAATTCGCCTGAAAATAGAGAGTATTCTAAGGTTGTTTCCCTTGAGTCTTACTCATCTTGTTGACTGTTTCCATTTTCCATTGACTCCATTAACAGTGAAGCTCACATTTATCAGAGCTCCAGGGATCTGAGGCAGAGCTTATAGCCTTCAGGCAATCGTTAGTCTCATATTGGTGTGCTGTGCAAATCATGATTCCAATATTGGACAGAGTCAGAGACCTAAGCACTGTATGAACATTTATTTTGTCAGTGTAGGAATGTACATTCCAGCTGCTAGACCCTATTGCCTCCTTTGACACCGGTACTGGCAGTAGCAGCAATCGCCAGACTTTTCTCCCATGTACTTTTATGGGTCTGGTACACCCTGGTCTCCCTGAGGAGGTGAATCTTCACAGGCATTCAGGGCAAGATGCGTGTACCATTTCTGTCGGTAAAGTGCCTGATACTTACTTAGCTCTGGCAAGTGAGCTGAGAATACTGCTGAAGCCATCAAGTTATATCTTAAGGATGTTTTCACCAGGAAGTCTCAGTGTCTGAAGTTCTGTTGCTATGTGTAACTAATTGAACCCCCTTCCCCTTGTGACTTGTGTCTGCCTGTGCTGTGGACTTGCTTCAGCAGTTCAGAAAAAAAGGAAAACAGAGGTGCTCTGCTCAAAGAATAGTCTTCAGCTGGCTAGTCAGGGCACTCCCCTGGGTCTGGGAAACAGTGGAACTGGAACTTGATCTCCCATTTCCTCGGAGATGCTTTTAGCAGCAGATGGCCACTTCCCCACCCTCACACCTCTGGGTTCCCTGCCAAAGCGTGGGAGGGTTTTTCAGGCTTCCAAGCCCAGTTTCACAAGGGTGCCCTTATTATTTTGGAGAGAAGGTCAGATCTGTCCCTCTCTTCAGCGGTGGTGTTCCCTAGCCTATGTGTATAGTTTGTTGTGAAGTCCCTTTGACATCTTACTATCTGTGTGCACTTCTCCGCTCCAGAGCGCGCAGAGGGCAACATGCCAGAGCTGTGGCTGCGCTGCGCTGCAAACCTAACAGGAGGGGAGAGCAGCTGGGTCTCTCCCGCCAAAAAGCCCAGCAGGCACAACCCTGCATTGCCAGGAAGTAACAGAGTTTGAGGATTTTCAAGGCCTCAGCAGTCCTTTAAGGCTCATCTCCCCCATGGGCTTTGTTCATCAAATTATGTTCTGCTCGTTTGTGCAATGCTCTAAAGTTAGGAAGAGTGAGAGTTTGCTCCCTTTTCACGTGCTAGCTGTCAAGTGTATGAACTAGATCATAACAGAACAGTTCTTCAGTACCTTGTGTAACAAGTAGCCCTCCTGCTGAGGAAAAAGCATGTGGAACTAGGTGTCAGTAGCCCAAATCTCTCTTTTGGAAAAAAAAAAAAAGAGTTGGGTTACTAAATCCTTAGGAACCTCTGTCTCTAATACACCTGGAACGTCTCAGTGTTGTACGTGTGAATGGTGTGCCAGGAAGAAAGTTGGAATTGTTGATAACCTGAGCTCAGTTCAGGGTGACTCTGGGAACCTGTTACTTACCATTCCACAAGGACAAAATGTTTGTCAGGGTTGGAGTTAGAGGATGAGTCTTCCCTGACAGCCTGTACTGTGGAGCTACAGGTGGGCCTAAGAGCGTGGACTTGTCTGAGCTCAGCCTTTTGCCTCTTTCAGGTGTCCCTTCTGCAGATGCAGCTGGCACAAGAACGACAACACAAGCAGGACTATATTGAGTGCTGTGCAAAGACCAGCCAGGAGCTGTCAGACCTTCACCAAGAGCTGTCTGGCTCCTTGGCAGCCGTGGTCAGGGAGCCCAAAGCTGCTGTTCTGGAGGCAGAGACCCGGAAGCTGGATCGGTCGCTGAACCTTAACTTGACTCTAATATCCCAGGACCGTCAGTCTCCTGAGAGACAGCCATTGCATTCAAGGGCCAGATCCGCCAGAAGCGGTGACCTGAGGTAACAGGACCAGCGTACAGCAAAAGGCTGTCGGAGCCAAGTCAGGGACCTGCTGGGGTAGGTGAACTGTGGCAGGGGGCTTGGTTCAAGGCGTGAATTCCCAAGTCAGATAAGAGTTCAGGGCACAGTGTTCATTGCAGGTTACCCAGCAGAAACTTGTGTGGATGGGGTCAGCCATAGGCTTGGAAAAGCAGGATGAACCTGATGAGCGGGTAAAATTTATTCCTTTTCCAAAGCACTCCGTCGCAGCATGCCTCATCAGTCTTCACACACCCTCCACGTTCGGTTGTTCCTGACAGTTTCTGTACCGTATACAAAGACTATTTGTCTGGTTTTATTTTTTCAATATGTTTTTTTCTCCGAAACACTGCACAGACTCAGCAGAAACCTCATTGCAGTGATGTCCTGTTGCTCCTCTGCCTTCTTCAGCAGCTGCTCCAGGTGGGCCTTCTCTGTGCAGAGGTTTTCATTGGTTCTTTTACACGAGTTCAGCTTCTCCTGGTCAGAGGTCCTTGCTCTCTCCAGTCCATCCACTTTACCTGACAGAACTTCATTCTCTTGCTCCAGCTACCACCACAGAAGCACAGAGGAAAGGTTTACTACGAAGGAGGTTTGGCTTGGACAGAAAAAGGAACAACCTCTCCATATTCAGTCAGTCATACTGTTGGAAGGCAAGAAGTTTGAGAAGCAGCAGCAACAGCTGGCAACAAATACATGTGTGTAAATATGGAACCAACATCAAAAGGACATGAGACCAAAGGTTACATACAAGCATAGAAAAGTATCCACAGAAACAATAGGTGAAGAGAAATAATCTCACTGGGATTTAACATTCATGCCAGCAGAAACAAAACAAAGTAAAAAGGACAAAATAACTTTTTTTTTTTTTTTTACAAGTGCACAAACTTTTTTTTTTTTTTTAACCCAGTTTTAGTTTTTCAGCATTTTCAATGTTTCTTGCTCCTTCAGACACATGAATATTGCATAAAGAGGGGGGGAGAACTTGTGTTAAAACAACTGAAATGTCCAACACTTACTTTGCAAAAAAAAAAAGATTATCAGGAGACCATCAGAGGCCCTTTGGGCATAAGGATTACTATGGTGTAAGAAAGAATATTTAAGAAATAATTCTGGGGTCACATAACATTTGGGTAGTGCATTTTTTTCTGAGGAAAGCCTCAGACCCAAGGGCCTCAATTTTTTTATGAAAAACCCTCAGGACATTTAGAATGTCAAATACGAGTGAAATGTGGTTTCTATTTCAGCAGATGTTACCCTATGATGAGATAATGCACTTAGATCTCTTAAGAGCATGAGAGCCATAGGCTGCCTGTTTCCAAACTTTGATTTCCTTTAGGCAAGGAGAGAGAACTGCGTACGGAAAGGGAAGCCCAAACAAGAAGTGAATAATCCCTGAAAACCAAGACTTTTTCTGGGACACATATATCCTAGGGCAGCTACTCAGACAAAATAAAAGGACATAAAGATTGAGCTACATGCAGTTAAAGCTATCAGAACTAAACAGAAATAAAACTGCATCTTATTCAGTGCTGGTTCTGGTTTGCATGTGCGTTAGCCCTGTGTCTCCCCTTCTTCTGCTTTCCAAGAAAAGCGATTTCAACTTGCTTCTACCCAGGAGGGAAGTTACAATTTTGAAGATGTTGACACTAAGCACACGACAAATGTTCAGATCAGAATTCCATTTACGGTCGGATTTACAAAGTGCTTCTGAATAGGACCCTCTGCACGATCATGAAGACAGCTGGGCAGACTCCCTGTCTGGAGAGCTATTAAACAGCAGTAGCCCTCAGGAGAAGGAGAGAGTGACAGCACACGGAACAAAAGCTGGTGTGCTAGCTTCACTGTGTGAATAGTACCAAAAAATAAAAGTACGGACTCCAGTCTAACCAGGATTTGCACGAACGTGGTACAGCTCCTCCAACGCGAGGCGAGGACAGTCAATGCAACGAACTTTCCGTAGTCCTGACGCTTTGGTTCACCCCCTGTATTACGGATTCAAATCGTTAGGCAATATAAGGCAGGAACAAAAATACTGTCAGTCATCACAGTTTTGTGCCAAATAGGTCTAGTAATTTATTGGGTTGTTAATGTGGTTTATGATGATAACAGTTTGGAATATTCAGGCTTCTCTTACACATTCAACTTCATCCTGTGTGATGTTCTGTTAAGTGTATTAATAGGACTGAGCACTAATGTAGACCTTGATGTAATTAACGTAGACATTCATGTAAAGGGATCAAAAATCACACACATGTAAGTTTTATGTGGAATTATGATCCAAATGAGGTATTTCCAGGGAAGCTCACAGAGCTTTGTCCAATACTGGTCAAGATCTTTATCTGTAATTAAAGGAGAAAAAACCACTCCTTCTCCCTATAAATTAAAAAAAAAAAAAAAAGGTTATACTGAGGTAGAAAATGGTCTCAGCTTCATGTACAAGGAAAAGATGAGGCTCTGAGCTGTCTGTTTCCCTCAGGGGTCAGGGAAAACTCCTTGGTTATTTGTTGGTACACGAAAATATTGTCCAGGAAAAGGTTGGGTTAAAAGGGAAATCACATGTTATGAGTAATTCGGAAAGCAAGAGAGAACAAAAGGAAGAAAATCATTACGCCAGGGTCTACGTGATGCCTAGCCTGGACCTTAGTCCTGGGTGCGGTCTGGTACCTCCAGACAGCTGAACTGAGAGGTTCAGAGCAATCCAGCATGGAAGTTCAGCGGGCGAATGGCTTCCACAAAGGACCATCTGAGTAGAGCTGGGACTTTTCAGCAGGGGAAAGACACGGCCTGGAGGCTGGCACA